GGCAAGCGGCACATCGAAGGGGTCTATTGAGGCTCTTCCACAGGAGTCTCTGGCTGAGCTCTTCTGTGGTCTTCGAACTCTTGATTACCACGCGCAATAGCGCCGGGAATAACCGGCTCCTCGTTGAGAACTTGATGCAGGTCTAAGGTTTTGCGCTGAAACTAAAACCGGTACGTTTTCACATAAAAGCCAAACGTCCTGACCTTCTGAGCCTTCACGTCCGATGACCCTAGACGCAGGAGACCAAACAGTTCTACCGCCCTTGTCCCTACGAAAGGTAACAATGTCCCCTACAGTATATTCATGGGAAATAGGCTCTGAACCCTTTTGGAGGTGTCCATGTGTATAAAAGCCTTCTTGGCCTCAGCTCGTGCTTGATGCTGAAGAGCGAAGCGGGATTCAGGATCAATAGTATCCTGGATGGCACCTAGGTCGGCATGGCCTTCCTCATCCATAAGTGAAGGGACTCCCCTTGGAGCCTTGCCTAAAACCCATTGTGCTGGCGAATAGCCTCCATGCTGAAGTAGGCCATTTGTGGTTGTACAGCACTCATCCAATACGGATTGAACGCTCGCTAATCCGACTGCCTGAGTCTGGGATATGACCTTCCTGCCCATTCCTTCAATCACACCGCCATGGCGCTCCACGCGTCCAATGGCCTCAGGAGTCTCCAGCGGCGCATGGTGCACTTGCACACCATGTGATGACATCCACTGGGCAAGCACGCCGCGGTTGTGCAGACCTCTGTCACAACGCAAGACTTCGGGATGCCCAGCCCAGGTCATCCACTTGCGCTTCAAAGCGTCAAGACATACTGAACTGGAGGCCTGGCCTGGTCCTTCCCGAACAACTTCACATAGTTGAAAACACATCCCTAAACAGATCATGTTTAGCACCTGGAATTTGGCGCCATTAGCGCCCAAAACCTCTAGTATGTCAATACGCAGAGAATGATTGAAGGTATATTTCTGTGGCATTGCAACCTTGTGAGCGGGGCGCCTGGGGGCTGCCTCCTCACACTCTGCGCACCTAAGCAGCTTGGCGCCGTCAACGTACGCCTTATCTACCTTAGCTGCACGAAGAAGGTTAATTAATACCTTCCGCGGACAATGTCCGAACTGCCGATGCAGGGGCGCAGCGCCACACGAATACGCTGTGGTAGCTGCTTCCACCCTTCTCGCCGCTCTTGCTCGGATGCGGGCAAGTTATGTACCTCGGCCTCGTCCAGCTCGAGGTCTTGCTGGATTGCTTCTTCGCCGGGATCAACCCTGGCGATGTCCTCCGATCCTTCTACGGTATCGAAAGGAAGTTCTGATGGTTGTTCTAACTCATCATGTACTTCTGCAGGGAAAGCTGTAGCTGCCAAAGCCATAGCTGCTTGGTCTTCAGCATTGTCTTTAATCCAGCTAACAATGTCTGGCTCAAAGCAATCATAGAATGATCTGGGAGCCATGTCTGGATAGCTATTGCAAGTCCATCCCTCAAAAGAATCACATAACTCCTTATCATTACTTGTGAATGACACATCCCCAATCCCCACAACAGGGTAGATTGGAACAGAGAGTTGTTGCCACCTTGGAGTGCCCCTTACATCTATGAATAGATAGGGTACACCAGTGCAATCGCAGCGTGAAACCACTTCGTCTATAAGATGGTAGTGTTGCATTGCAGTGTCTGGGGTATAATACCCTATGCACACTATGACAAGACTAGGGCCTATGTCTTGAAAAACCTTTCTGGACCCATTAGGTGTCCAGTTGCCCCCTGCCTCTCTTCCCACATCGACGGTGTGGAAGATGCTGTCCTGTCGGGGTTCTGAGGTAAAAACTACTGCACGCTTGGGACCAACAGTGGTTAAGCATCTGTTGGGGAAGCAAAGGGCTTGCAATGCCACATCGTGGT